TCCGGGTCATGGCAGCATGAAGCTCGCAGGCCCAGTGATTCTAGGGAGTGGTTTTTGCGATTCGCTACGACAGGGGCACCCTAAGCAAGAGGAATTAACAGTAAAATTTTTCCTTCCTGTAAACTCATTGTGGGCATTTTTATTGAATGCACATCACCTCTTCTGTGTTCCTGGACGATTTCAATTTCCCACCTGAGAACAATTTTGTGCGAAGGTCAAAAGCTTCATGACTGCCTAAGGTAGCCAATTTCTTGGCTGTCTCCACAATTTTTGTGGGTATTCAGCTTTTTGTACAAATAGCAGAAGACATCAAGTATTCTTCGCATACGATGTCGTATTCAACAATCGCTATACAGTCTTACCACCCCATCGATGAGATTCCTCGTGAACCTTCGCTTTCTGTGTCAAGAATTTTCAACTGGAGAATTGCTTACTCAACTCAGTATTGTTAGTCCATGATGAAAGCCCCTCGACTGGGTGGGCTACACAAAAGAAATCGCCGCAAATTAGCTCGGAATAAGATTAGAACGGAATGGTATTCAACAGGGTGTACAGGATAGAGAAGCACTTCATTAAGGTGACTAGAGGAGGCTCTTTTTGGATTGTTTCTTTTCTGGCATGAACGAGACGGACTAAATGAACATCACAGCTGATGGATGTATTCTAGAAAATGTCCACTGGTCTTCAGCCGAAGGAACTTCGGTGGCGGATCTCAGATCGTGTGGGCCGCATTGTGCAACTGTGCTGTACCCTCGCTGGCTCGTATCGAAAAGAGCGAACATAAGCGAGCACAATGGCGTTCTTGCGATCATCTACTGTCGATCATAAGTAGAGATCGTCATTTCGTCCTCATTCACGTACGACACGCCGACATTTACTACAGGATCCACCAAACAGCCGCTTAAGGTCCACGAAGTCAGTGTTTTGTATTGGCCCCACTCCAGATCCAAATCCTATTTAAGACATCTAGGAAATAGGCAGACCTTTTCAAATCTGGTGGCAGCAGTGAAGAATTGGGAAATACTTAAGGCGCTATCGAGAGGTGCGGTACCATATTGGTGCTATTCCTCTGTAGAAAGTGGGAATCGGCTAGGCACAGTGAAGTAGTGTGCTCTCACTGAACATGCCCAAAGAATCGCAAATGAGTGACAGGAAAGAAGTTTTACTCCCGAATCCTCTAGCCCAGGGTGCCCCTATACTTTTGAAACATGCGACATTATTGAATTTCCTTGATAAAATGTTTGTAGCTTATTTGAGTGCTGAAATAAAGAAATAGTTTCAGAACATGTTGAAATACTAAATAGGTTGGAAGCCATGAAACCTGATCCCAATAAGAAACGGCTGTTTCCATGGGTGCGCTTATACTTCCGAAACGTCCTGTATGAATAGAAGAGAGCTCCATTAGATTACCGAGAAAAGTCCATTGGATGGCCAGAGATAAACAGCAACTTCGTATATGGAAATATCTCCATCTTTCGTTTCGGTGGCGCTGTGAGTCTGAATTGATAAGTGTTGAGAGTTAATTAGCGGACGTTCAAGCATGACGCATAAGAATGTGTAAGTTTCAGAATTGCATGGTAACGATTTGGCGAAGATTATACAGCGTGGTCGCATATTATCCTATTTATCCTATTCTCCATTTTTCTGCTCGCTTGCTTTCCGTTTTGCGCGACGCGAGCTTTCTTACTGCTGTCATATTTGCTGCCAAAACGAAGGACTTTCCGGAAGCTGAAACCAACCCTTTCCTGTAACTTTCATTGAGTTGCGCTGCTGAGTTGTTTCAGGGCGCGCTCTTTTGAGTATCGACAATGAACAAGATTCGTGGTGCTAGCAGTGCCATTGGCAATTTTTCAACACTGCAAAACATTATCAACGGACCGGATCTGGAAAGCCACCAACTGTCATTGCCCGACCACCTTCAATGAGCTGCACGCAGCAGAAAACAAGCATTGGAGCGCGCTCGAATTTTGAGTCCTACCAAAGGTCATGGGACGCACCTGGAATAGAGAATTATTCCGCGGGAAAATGAAACAAGATATGTAGAGGCAATCGCTAATGAGAGACAAAAAGCGAAAGGAACCATAGGGCAACTCGATTGAAAGGCCTTTTCTTGCGAGGGTGATCGTGATTCGGCGAACAAGGACTGCACGACATGATAGCATCGCACGAAGGGGTGCAAATAAAGTAAGCCCTACGAGCTGAAGCAGCATCGCTCGCAACGGATAAGGCAAGAGCATAGCGCTTGTCGCTCCTTTCGAGTCACGGCTCAAGTCACGACAAAGGGATGAATTCTGTGCCTTGGGGACTTAGCCACCTCCAGTTAATGATCCTTTCCCTCTTGGTATCCCTCCTGCTAGTCGGATCGATCTGGGGGTTTGCCTTTGAGTTGTTCACGTGGCTCTTCCTTTCCCTTTATCTATATATTTTGCTTTCTTTCCCGCAACTTCGATATCCTTTAGCCATGAAAATCTTTCAAGTGCATGTGTTCAATTTTATAAATGTTTATGTGGCCTGGACGGGGATGGCATGACCAAAGGCATTTGTTACTTTATGTTCTGAAGACGAGTGGTCCAACTTTACCTCCTGCGCCAGTAAATTTTAGCGATTACCATAAATGGACTCGGACGTGTTTGGTAAGATGGAGTCCTCAACTAAAAAATGAAGTCAAAATTTTTTTACCAGTCTGGGTAGCGCCTTATGACTCCATTCGTAGGGAAAAGAATAGCTGATTCTAGAAGTAACCAGCACAGCTCGCCTTCAATTACAAAAGTGAGCACTACAGTCAAAAAATCGCAGCATCGCATGCGAGTTCGCTACGATTTAAACAAAAACAGTTCAAAACTAGGGCAGGTTGCTAAAAGAGAAAGGCACTGACCGAATAGTAGGACTGCTTCTGGCATTTTTCACGTAGCCCTGCATTTTCAAGTAATTTGTTCAATTGCTGTGCGAGAAAGCGTCCAGCTTTATCTGTTAGAGATTCGTCACTGAAAGTGTTTGATAGAATAAAAGAGTGTCTACTTCCTTTCTATCAACACATCGTTACATGAAACAGCACTTTGCGAAGCTCACTTGATTGCTGTTCTGTTGTACTGGCAAAGGCAGTACTGGGAGGGAATCGGAAGTGTCCGGCAGTTTCTTGGTCCACGCCATTCTCGGAACAATGAGGAACCTTTGCTCAACGGCTCCATATCGCGATATGATGTGCTCGAGAAGTTGCTGGATGGTTGCAGCTAGGAAGTGAAGATGAATGGGCTCAGAGAATGCAGGTGTAGCCATGATTTGAGTGATTAATTCAAACAATTGAAAAAGAATTAGGAAACCAACCTTCAGAATATCCATAAACGTGGCGTGTAAGTCGAAGTGAGTCATCAGTATAGAAGACTTGCCCCTCAACTGCTCGTGGATTGCTGTGTCGCGGTAGCGTTTTGGGATCGACACAATAAGAAACGGATTTTTCTGTTCGTATTCCCCTAGAGGAACTTTCTCTATCTGAAAACAGCATTAAACTACAGAAAGTAGCCCTCATCATACTGGTTCGGTTCAAGAGTTCAAATCGAACTTTGACACACTTTCCAAGTGCATAGTTAAA